GAGACGAAACATGGTGAAAAATAGCAAATAAATGTACAACGAATACTTGTGATATGGAAGTGTCAGTAACAGGATAACGTGGCAACTGGTAACTATCCTGTGGAATTTTATATTTAACAATTAAAGTTAATTTTAGTATGGTAAATGATTAGTCAATCAAAATCGCGGGAAATCTTGTACATGGTACTCAATGTAAGAAAATAAGGGCAAGAAAATCCTACTAAATAAATGAAACCGATAGTTTCTAAAACAAATGAAACATTTAATTGTTTCAAAAGTGAATAAGGTAGTCCAAGAATGTAGGCATACCTTGCCGAGTCTCTATAGGACAGAAACAAGGGTTTTCCCACTAAATGAAATATGATACTTACAGAATTAGCGAACTTTGTGCTCTGAAAAAAGAAAGCTAATTCCCTACCTAAGTAAATATCATCATCTCTGACCGACGTGTAGAGGTGCGAGTGTCAACTGGTGACGAGAACTGCTGCTGAGGTCCCAACTCTGCAACTTAGTCTGTGCTAGAGGAACTATGGCCCTCTGTATCTTCCTTCGGTCTGATTGCAGAAGATAGGGTGCTTTGACCCGAAGACAAACCAAAGTACCAGGGTACCAAAATGATGATCTGTCTGAGATTGAGAAATATCCTAGGGACAAAAGATGGAAAACACGAGTAATTAAGAGAATGGCTGAGGCCTCCAGTCACCACGTAATCCAGAGTTATCCAACACTCACAATATGCTACTCTCGGAATGCATAATACACACAGCACCATATAAATATTAAAAGTAATGAAAATATTAAAAATCAATTGTATCAAAGCCAAGTACGCTTACCACAAATTGATGTTCTGGTACTAGTACCTGAGTGAGACTCCTAGGACAGGCCCCCATTAAATGTGACGGGAAAGTGTAGGAGTGTTGATGTTCAGCAGTCCTCCAATGGCTGGTGTCAATGCCTAGTCACACTTATAAAACAAAGATAGACTGCTTGGCTGTTTATCTGTGGTAAAGTAAGGGAAGACATGCAAAACACATAGTATGAACAATGAAACTTTAATTAATATAGAAAACAAATTAAAATCAAAGACAATCCCTTGGCTATGTATAGTGCAAACAAACAAGTCAAAAACATATAACATAAATGAAGAATAGGGATGACGTTACTCTATAATAATATAAAGACAAAGTAAAAAATAATAAGCAGGTGCTGAGAATATTGCGCTAGCTGAGAAACATCCACCTGATAGACAGCGTATATCAGTTAGTTGTTCACGGCTTGAGAGCACAAGGATATTCTAACTTCAATGGCTGGTTCAAGCCCAGACATCGACCTGTAGAGAGCGCTGAGGTGCAGAGGTGCAGGTGTGCAGTCGGTGAGTCACCAATCAGAAGCAGCCAAGCAGTTTGCTGGTTGATGACGGAGCCGGCATGGATGGAGTGTGGAGTAGGGGGGAATCTTGGGTACGTTTGCTTCCTGGTCAAAACGTTTTGTGCTACTGGTAGACGTATCTTGAAGGTAGCATCTTATTGTTGTATAATATGTAACTTTATGTAGAGAAGAGCAGGCTCAATCTCTCTTGAAAGAGATTATTGTCACAATATATATATATATATATATATATATATATATATATATATATATATATATATATATATATATATATATATATATATATATATATATATATATATATATATATATATATATATGTCGTACCTAGTAGCCAGAACTCACTTCTCAGCCTACTATGCAAGGCCCGATTTGCCTAATAAGCCAAGTTTTACTGAATTTAGATTATTGGGGAATATAAACCTGGATATGCGTATGGAAATGTCAAGACACACAAGCCTGGAAACCCACTTCGGCCAATCATTAGCCAGATACCCACACCCACGTACAGACTGGCGAAGCGACTCAACGGCCTGCTGGCTCCTTATGTCCCTTGCGCCTTCAGCCTGAAGTCTCCAAAGGAATTTGTTGACTTACTGCGGGTCACAAGGATAAGAGCCTCGTTGGACGAGGCTCACTGTTCACTGTTCACCAACGTACAACACAATCACTGTTCACCAACGTACCTGTGGACGAGACAATCGGGATGATAGCCGACAGAGTGTATCGTGATCCAGCCTGTGCTCCTCTTGACGTACCAGAAAATATTCTAAGGAAACTACTCCATTCTTGTACTAAAGAGGCACCCTTCTTGAGCCCGGATGGGCACATGTATAAGCAAGTAGATGGGGTCGCCATGGGTTCTCCCCTAGGTGTCCTGTTTGCAAACTTCTACATGGGTACCATCGAGCAAAAAGTCCTAGTCGACATGAACTTGAAACCGGCCATATACTGCAGGTATGTTGACAACATTTTTACACAGGTACCTGATGTCAGACATCTGCAGGAGCTGAAGGAGGCGTTTGAGCAGCGTTCCGTGCTGCGTTTCACTTACGAGATGGAAAAGGATGGGAAGCTGCCCTTTCTAGATGTAACAGTCATGGAAAAGAGCGGAGGTTTCCACACTGCAGTCTACACTAAGGAAACGAACATAGGAATGTGCCTAAATGCCAACAGCAACTGCCCAGACAGGTACAAAAGGAGTGTTGTTAAAGCATATGTCGACCGTGCTCTCAGCCACAGCTCAGAATGGAAGCAAGTCGACGAAGAACTCTGTAGGGTAAGGCAGGTCCTAGTCAACAACGGCTTCTCCAATGGTTTCGTCGAAGACATCATAAGAAGGAAAGTGAAACGCCATGCAACCTCTGAAGAGACAACTAACACAACACCTATACCCCCTATTAGACTATTTTACAGGAACTTCTTTTCCACAGCTCATAAAACGGAGGAAAGGGTCCTGAAAGATATTGTTAATAGAAACGTTATCCCTACAGACAAAAATCAGAGGATACAACTGACGATTTACTATAAAACCAGAAAAACGGCCAGCCTACTCATGAGAAACTCTCCAGACACAAAGCAGAACGCTTTAAAAGAGACCAACGTCGTCTATGCCTTCAAATGCCCTCTTGGGGACTGTAAGCTCCAAAAAACCCAGTATATAGGCAAGACAACAACATCTCTTTCTAGGCGTTTAACGATGCATAAGCAACAGGGCTCCATTAAAGAACATATAATCTCTTCCCACAACCAAACAATCGCCAGAGAAATCCTAGTAAACAACACAGAAATCATCGATAGATACAGCGATAGCAGGCCGCTTGACGTTTGCGAGGCACAACACATTAAAAAGTCAACACCAGCAATCAACAGCCAATTAATGCACAACTATATTCTACCCACCTCAAGACTCCGCTCCAATATAGAAGCATCAAGAAATATGGACCAATAGGCTTTCTACAATCACTTCCATTCAATACCCATTGTTTCGTGTTCTGTCTTGTGTTGATGAAATTAATACCCTATTAATGCCACCTCACCCCATCCACCTCACTCAAATGTAGATATAAACAAATCGGAGATGTGTAAGTTCTATTCAGTTGTGTATGTGTAAACTAAAGTCTTTGAAAATGTAATAAGTTTTACGAAACGCGCTCAAGTGTCGCGTCAGACTAGAAATAAAAATGAATTTTGGAGAATTGATTTTTGAATTACCACCAACAGTGAAAAGAAATATACGAAAGATAGAGAAAATTCGTGTTAGAATTATTAATCTTACTTTTTCGGTCATATTTAATAATATATGTCTACAGGAAAGACTGCTACCAAAATGCGCTACGGAAAAAATGAAAATATAAAAACGGAAACCACGTACAAAACTCAGGCAAATCATAACATAGAACGAAAAGGCAATGTAAAGGATCTGGGTGTACTCATGTCGGAAGACTTTACCTTTATAGAACACAATAAAGTAGTTGTCACAACTGCAAGAAAAATGACAAGTTGGATAACAAGAACTTTTCACACTAGAGATGCTATATCGATGATGATACTTTAAAAAACGCTAGTGCTCTGTAGAGTGGAGTACTGCTGCACAATGACAACCCCTTTCAAACCTGTAGAAATTGCTGACCTGGAGAGCGTGCAGAGTTCTTTTACTGCTAGAATCCACTCAGTAAAACATCTAAACTACTGGGACCGACTAAAGAATCTAAATCTGTATTCCCTTGAGCGCAGGCGAGAGAGATACATAACAATTTACACGTGGAAAATAGTAGAGGGGCTGGTCTTAAACCTGCACACAGAAATAACTTCACATGAGACCAGGAGGCATGGCAGGATGTGCAGAATACCCCCGTTGAAAAACAGAGGTGCAACACGTACTCTGAGAGAGAACTCTATCAACATCAGAGGCCCGAAACTGTTCAACACGCTTCCACTACAAATAAGAGGCATAACTGGCCGACCCCCTCACAGTGTTCGAGAGTGAACTGGATAAATACCTCCAAAGGATACCTGATCAACCAGGTTGTGATTCGTACGTCAGGCTGCGAGCAGCCGCGTTCAACAACCTGGTTGACCAGTCCAGCAACCAGGAGGCCTGGTCGACGACCGGGTCGCGGGAATGCTAAGCCCCGGAAACACCTCAAGATAGCCTCAAGGTAAGGAGTGTGTGTGCATTGTCAACCGTGCGAACAGTTATTACTTTTATCATTTATTTATTGCATTTAATATTGTTCACTTCAATACGATTTTTGTATATATTGGAGCTATCATTTAATGTATGAAACTTACTCCAAGTGAAGTTCATCAGAGTTATAGTCTAGTGAGGCAGCGTCTGTGAATATAACCTGCTTATCTTGCTATTTTTTTTTTTTATATACAAGAGTTCTTACACTCATGTACAGCCACTAGTACACGTAGCGTTTAATATTTCTAGAGTTTAATGCGAGAAGTTCGATATAGCTTCTTAAGTATAAGTTTCCCTTTCTGTTAAGCTAACTTGGCTGGAATGGTACTTGGTGTACCAAAACCATTTATATAAAGTTTTACTTAAGTGTTGATTCGATTAAGCATATGGTTCTTCTATTATTGCAATGCTACCACTAAGGATGTTGGTCTTTGACAGACTAAAGTGTTTGTCAGCATGAAGGAATCTGGCTTGATGGAGGAATACTTCCCCCGGGCGACGGAGTTCCTTCCCGAGCGCTGGATGAGGGACCATCCGGATCGTCTCAATAACCAATACGCCTCCATACCCTTCTCTGTGGGCACCCGCATGTGTGTGGGGAGGAGGCTCGCTGAACAGGAGCTTTACGTCTTCCTCGCTAGGGTAAGTGTCAGGAGTAACTAATACCTGTCTTGATCCCAACCTTTCTCTTATTAGATGCTTCACTTCATCCTACAGATATATTTAAGAGAGTATTTTATCCTAAACAGATGTTCCAATTTATAATATGTGTTTAAAAATGTACATCATTTTTACAGCTGTTCTTGAAGTACAATTTGGAATACAAGTACAGTGAGTGGGATCCAGTGTTGAAGCTTCTATACAAACCTGACAAGCCACAAAACTTCACCATGACTGAGCGTTGATGAGCTCTCGTCCTCTCGTGTTTTACTGTTTTCAAAATACACAATTTTTGTTGTGTATGCAGAGTGGCTCCGTGAAGAGTATACTTTTTCATATATAAAATAAAAATTTGTGGTTAAGCAAACACTTAAGTATATATACCTAACAAGCAAACATTTAAATATATATATATATATATATATATATATATATATATATATATATATATATATATATATATATATATATATATATATATATATATATATATATATATATATATATATATATATATATATATATATATATATATATATATATATATATATATATATATATATATATATATATATATATATATATATATATATATATATATATATATATATATATATATATATATATATATATATATATATATATATATATGTCGTACCTAGTAGCCAGAATGCACTTCTCAGCCTACTATGCAAGGCCCGATTTGCCTAATAAGCCAAGTTTTCATGAATTAATGTTTTTTCGACTACCTAACTTACCTAACCTAACCTAACCCAACTTTTTCGGCTACTTAACCGAACCTAACCTATAAAGATAGGTTAGGTTAGGTAGGGTTGGTTAGGTTCGGTCATATATCTACGTTAATTTTAACTCCAATAAAAAAAATTGACCTCATACATAATGAAATGGGTAGCTTTATCATTTCATAAGAAAAAAATAGAGAAAATATATTAATTCAGGAAAACTTGGCTTATTAGGCAAATCTGGCCTTGCATAGTAGGCTGAGAAGTGCGTTCTGGCTACTAGGTACGACATATATATATATATATATATGTCGTACCTAGTAGCCAGAACGCACTTCTCAGCCTACTATGCAAGGCCCGATTTGCCTAATAAGCCAAGTTTTTATGAAATATAGTTTTTTCGACTACCTAACCTACCTAACCTAACCTAACCTAACTTTTTTGGCTACCTAACCTAACCTAACCTATAAAGATAGGTTAGGTTAGGTTAGGTAGGGTTGGTTAGGTTCGGTCATATATTTACGTTAATTTTAACTCCAATAAAACAAAATTGGCCTCATACATAATGAAATGGGTAGCTTTATCATTTCATAAGATAAAAATTAGAGAAAATATATTAATTCAGGAAAACTTGGCTTATTAGGCAAATCGGGCCTTGCATAGTAGGCTGAGAAGTGCGTTCTGGCTACTAGGTACGACATATATATATATATATATATATATATATATATATATATATATATATATATATATATATATATATATATATATATATATATATATATGAAGTTTGTGAGGGTACCACCTTTGGTGCCAATGTGGGGACCCATAGCCTCGGAGAAGAAAATAAAAATTATTCAGAGAAGACCTAGTGGTTTTTCACTGAACACTAATATTATCTTCTCCTACTACCCCCATTCTTTTTTATGCACACATATATATTTGTTTTTTTTTTAACTTTGTTATAAAAAAGGAGTTACATATAGGGTACAAAGATGATTATCATAAGTTGTCGAGTTCCTCCAGCTCCTCAGATGGCGGGCAGGAACACTGAATGCAGTGTGTATTTCCCTTTTGTATCGCCACGCTGAGGCGCTGGAAAAGAAAGCTGGTAGCTCTAAGGTCCCTTGTTGTTTCAATGAGCTTAGAACCCAGTTCCTTAAAAATATTGGTAGCACTTTTACCCCAGGCGCCGAGTGTCTCAGAAGCAATGGGGGACAAAATTGTAGTGGTGATCCAGTTCTCTATACTTACGGGATTTGGCTGTTTATATATATATATATATATATATATATATATATATATATATATATATATATATATATATATATATATATATATATATATATATATATATATATATATATATATATATATATATATTAAACAAACTATTTCTTATATGTTTAGTTAATAACCTCATACTGTATAATATCTTAACAACTTACATATCTGTTTTTATAAGTATAAGTTTCGATTGATATAAACTTATAAATATATATACTTTTATATAAGCACTTGATTGCATTAATTTTATGTATCTTAATAAAGATAGCAATATTCCATGTTTAATTTTGTTGGTCTGTTCTTTTTTTACTAATCCTTTTTCACGTTGTGTATTATCAAACCAAATCTTGTAAATATCATATTTTGTAAAGCTGTGTCCTCTACTTCCCAGACTACCGATAGTCGTTATCAAGGTAGAGAGGTGCTTTGTCAAGTGGCACAATTTTAAGATCATCAATTCCCTTAAACCTACGTGTGCTGGGTTCAACCCAGAGGGAATCCAACACCAGGCACAGTGTGTGATATTTACCAGTTATGTTTCCTAGTGAACCTATGTACATTCTATAGAACATCGGCTAAAACTGAACCGCATTATCTGAATGGGGTCTTACCTTGCAATGTACATCATTAGTGGTGTACCTCAGAGATCTAGAAAGGTGGCACAGAATCCTAACAGCATGTGCAGAAACCTCTGACAATAATACCCCTTTCACACTGGATGAGCTCAATCGGACTAAAAAAACTACAAGGGATACATCCCCTCGAGACGACAAAATAACACATAAAATGAATAGGAACCAGGGCCCAAAGGGAGACGTTGCATACCAAAGGTTACTTATTTAGCCTGGACTTTTCATACAAGACCTACAGCTTGGAATAGGGCAGACACAGCCGATTCCATAACCCAAAGATCCAGCTAATCCAAAGTACTTCTCTCTCCAAAGTTGTGCAGACAAGACGGCTGACAAAATTGCACTCAACAGACTTGAGTGGAATAAGCCTAAACTGCACCAGAACATGAATGCTTATAGAGAAGGGGTTGGCACACTGGAATGTATTACTACTTTGTTAACCAAGCTGCATGACAGACCAAGACTACTGATATTCCTGAACCTCGAGAAGGCCTTTTAATATACGACAAAAAGGTCAGAGGCAACCTTCTCTGCTGGACCAAAGACTGTCTAATAAACAGAAAAGTAAGAGTTAAACTTCATGGCACAGTCTCTGAATATAAAATACATAATAACGGTACACCGCATGGAGACATATTCAGCCCGCTTTTCTTCAACTATTTAATAGAAATAATAATGAGGCTGAAACTTCCACAACACTGCAGGCTATTAAACTATGCAGACGACTTCGTCATCATCATAAAAGCTTAGACTGCATCAGTGAAGAGGCAAATCAGATTGGTATAAAATTCAACCCCACCAAGTTGAAAACACATGCTCATGAAAATAGGGAAGCCTAGCACCCAACTCGAAGTACAGCGTCAACCAGTTGAATGGGTGGACACTTACTAGTATCAAGGAATAATTCTGGACACAAACAAATTTGAGGTCACTTACTAGAGAGAGAACTGCGACCAGGACAGCAATCCTCAGGTTGCTAAACCTTCCTCTAAGGAGGAACCAATCTGGAAATCCTTATTACATATTATGTACAGGCAGTCAGATCAGTGATCGACTATGCAGCACCTGCACTCACAAGTCTATCACAACAACAGTGGAAAAAGCTTGAAACAGCTCAAAACAATGCTATGAGAGCTGCCCTGGGATCCCCCTATGTGGACCAGCCTGGAAACGCTAAGACTGGAAACGAGTTTGCCCCCTCTTTAAAAAATAATATTTCAAAGAACAGTTAAGATTATCTGTAAGAAAATTGTTTCCTTTGATTCAGTTCCAGTACGACAAGCTTTGGTGGGTGGACTTAGCCAAAACAACGGAAACTCTTGGGCTGCAAGAGCGGGAAAAGTCCTAAACAGACATACAATTAAAACACACGATTCTTGATAGAGAACGTTTCGGTCCTTCCTGGTCCTGGATGGTCCTGGAAGGACCTGAATGGCCCTGGACCATTCTTACATAATATGTAAGAATTGTCCAGGACGGACCGAAACGTCGTCGTCCCTTCACTTTCTAGTGTGTGTGTGTGTGGTTTGGTCAACATATTTCAGCCACGTTATTGTGACTCCTTGTCTGCCTTGATAGAGGACGTAATCATCCATACCCAAACTACACTTGTTCCCCCACTATGGGAGGAGCCTACCTTTAAAATAGTAATAGAAGGTCTTCAGATGAAAATGTCTGCCTATGATCCAACAATTCTAAGGCGCATCATAGAAAGGCAAATGAGCAGCATTGCAGTAGCAGGAGCCACCCATATCTTCACAGACGAATTAGTGGACACAGAATATGAGAGTGCTGGTGCTGCTCTTTGCAAGGACAGCTAACAGGCATATTGGAGACTAGGAGGACCAGTATCATCAACCCAAACTGAGCTGTTTGCCATACAACAGGCATTCATATATGTGATCGCACAAAACACTCAAAATGCAATCATACACACAGACTAAAAATCTGCACTTCAAATATTAGGAAAAAGTCAGTAGAAGGACAACGATGAAATAATTACCACACTTTTGAATCTAGGAGTAGTAGCTAAAGGCAAAGGACTCAACATAACCCTAAACTGAATCCCATCCCAAGTTGGAATCCCTTAAATGAGAAAACCTATGAAACTGTCTAAATTGGCAACTCGTCATCCAGTGACCCACAAAGGAATCCGTGCCAGGTACATAAAAATCTCCATCCCCAAAACATTCGCTCCCCTCAACAAAGCCCATCTACAACAGAGATTAGCAGAAGGTTCGCCCTCTACAATATGGTATCTTCAGACCAGCAAGCTAGATAGGTTGAATATCCCAAAAGGAATCCACATGGAAATAGCAGTTCGATTATATAGACTACGTCTAGGTTACAGATGTAACTAGGAAATTAGTGAACACAGAGATTGGCAATGCATCTTCTTGCAAATAATCACAGAAAAGTCCCTACTTCACTATCTGGAATGTGAAGCAGCCAACGACCTTAGAAGAGCTATAGGAGTCCCCGAATCTTGCAGTAACCACCCTGAAGCCATCAACACTGCCACTTTTCTGTCCAGCAAAGGTGGAAAAAAACAGTTTCCAGCAGCTGGAAACCTCATAAATACTGTCAAGCGGTATCCCTCCCCGCAATAGCAGCCACATAGTAAGGATTGATGATTTAAGTATACAGTATATCTTTTCATGACTAAATATCACCTTCACTCCAAACATCTACCACTTACGGGCTACTCATGCCAATGCCACCTCCTGAGTGGAATAATTTTTATCAATCAATCAAAAGATCAATCTC